GATTGCCTGAGCTCAGGGGTTTGAGACCAGCCTGGGCAACTTGGCAAGACCTCGTCTCTACAATAATAAAAAAATAAGCTGGGCACGGCAGTATGCGCCTGTAGTTCCAGTTACTTGGAAGGCTGAGGCAGATGGATCGCCTGAGCCCAGCTGGTTGAGGCTGCGATGCTGTGAGTGTGCTACTGCACTTCTAGCCTGGGCGACAGACTGAGACTCCAACTCAAAAAAAAAAAAAAAAGAGCACATCTCATCTCCACCCCATATTTTTTGCAAAGTCTGCCCTTGGTTTGATTCTAGGACATCCTACCAGGTGGTGCTGCTGAAAGGCTACAGGGTCTGTTTTTATGAACAGATAGTGGGAGATCGTTCTGGCCCTTCCATGATTATTCCCCACTACTGAGCATACAGCCAAGGTCATTAGGAAGCACTGGAGAACTCCCTGCTTACAGTTTAGGGACGAGGGCAAATCTCATCCTGCTCAGTAGCTCATCTTCTTGGAGCATGACCAGGGCAATGGGGTACATCTGATCAAAGTCGAAATTAAATTGCACACCAGCTGGAGGGTCACGAAGGAAGTTCCTCTTGTCCTTAGATGAAAATAAAGAAAAAACACAGGGAACACCACAAAATGAAATTAATATGTTACATGTATCATAGATTGAACAAGTACTAAATTCTTTCTAAACCCTTCAGCTGCAAAGTCCACTAAACTATCATCCATCTGTCCAATTAAGAGAGACCAACCAGGTGTGTTGGTTCATACTTGTAATCCTAGCACTTTGGGAGGCCAAGGTGAGAGGACTGCTTGAGCCCAGGAGTCTGAGACTAGCTTGGGCAACATAGTATGACCTCATCTCTACCAAGAAAAAAAAATCATTAGACAGGTGTGGTGGCACGCACCTATAGTCTCAGCTACTTAGGAGGCTGAGGTGGAAGTATCACCTGAGCCCAGGAGGTAGAGGTTGCGGTGAGCTATGGCCTGCACTCCAGCCTGGGTGACAGAGTGATACCGCAACTCAAAACAAACAAGAAACCATGAGAGATCAGAAAACAGCTGATTTTTTTTCATATATTTTCTAATACTCTCAACTGGAGAGAGCCCTCTTGAGAGGCCAGGAAAATTCAATCATGTAATTGATTAGTTGAAATCACAAAGTTTGAAATTTTAAGAATACGTGTTTTAGTGGGTAAAAACACGTGTTTTAGGTATGTGAAAATGAGTGTAAATCTTATTAGAACCATTCTAACCCAAAGGTGAAGAGTCAGCTAGCCACATGGTCATGTGAGAAAAGTGAAATCCACAACCCAATTCATAAATATGCACAGACCACACTTTTGTCCCACACCTCTTGAACAGAGCATGCAGGCCCAGGCTCTGCCACCTCAGTGCCTGTGCTGTGGGTCTGGGAACTTGATGGTGACTGAGAGAGCCACAATTGTTCTTTTCCTCAGAGAGCATCCAGGCTGGGAAACATTCGTAGGTGGGTTTGCCAAACCTCTGCCAGGCCAGGGGCTCTCCCCAGCTTACTTGCTGAAGACCCTGTGAAGCAAGCATTTCCACCCTTATTTTTCAAATGAGGAAACAGGTTAGGGAAGCAAAAATGGCTTGTCCAAATTCAAGTATGCTCTCTAGGGAATGGCAGAGCTAGGACTCCAAGTCCCCCCATCCCAGGTCCAGTCCTCCTCTCCAGCAGAGCTGCAAACTCAATGGGCTGTCTATATATCATGCAGACTCTGGCCATTTTTTTTTTTTGAGTTGGAGTCTCACTCTGTTGCCCAGACTGGAGTGCAGTGGCATGCTCTCGGCCACAGCCTCGACCTGCTGGGCTCCGGCGATCCTTCTGCCTCAACCTTCTAAGTAGCTGGAACTACAGGCGCGTGCTACCATGCCTGGCTAATTTTTTGATTTATTGTAGAGATACGGTCTCGCCAAGTTGCCCAGGCAGGTCTCAAACCCGCAGGCTCAGGCAATCCCTCACCTTGGCCTCCCAAAGCGCGGGATTACAGGCTGAGCCACCAAGCTTGGCCAACCCAAGCCTATTGTGGATGATCACTTGACTTTGCAAGATGAGCAATGATACAGGGTGCGATAATGCCACAAGGACTGCCAGACAGTGAGATCCTGCCACCTTGGGCTTAAGTTGTGCTTCCAACTTGCTCATGTAATCCTCTCAACTGATCCCCCTGCAGACCTGGTACCTCCTTCAAGTTTCTGAAGCAAAAAGCATGGTGCTGTCTGCAGCAGGGAGAGGAGGGAAGACAAATAAGTGGCTCCCCTCAACTCTTCCTTGCCCTGCCATAAATCAATCTTTTTTTTTTTTGAGTTGGAGTCTCACTCTGTCGCCCAGACTGGAGTACAGTGGCACGCTCCCGGCCACAGCCTCGACCTGCTGGGCTCCGGCGATACTTCCGCCTCAGTCTTCCAAGTAGCTGGAACTACAGGTGCGTGCTACCACGCCCGGCTGGTCTTTGATTTATTGTAGAGATGCGGTCTCGCCAAGTTGCCCAGGCGGGTCTTGAACCCATGGGCTCAGGAAATTCACTCACCTCGGTCTCCCAAAGTGCAGGATTACAGGCTGAGCCACTGAGCCTGGCCAATCAATCTTCTTTGAAACACATACTACAAATAACGACATTAAGTAAACTGTTCACACTGTTGTATTTGGGCTTAGGATACCTGTTATCTTAGTATTTTATATATCTAACATACTATGTTTGGGGGACAGAGGTGCTCCAGAGACCTGACTGGTAAGTATATGATCTTTGCCCTCAAATGACACCAACACTCACTGTCCCAATTCTCTTTTCAGGAAAAGCAGATATGTGCCTTTAGTGTCAAGTTTGGCTGTAATATGGTAAACAAAATACATGGTGTCCACAATGAATTAGTAAAGGATATTTAGTCCTTTAAAGAGTTTATCAAATGGAAAGGAAAAAGACCTTAGAATTCCCTGGAGGATGACAATGGAAGGGAGTTCAGTTTTGTGTTCATTTGTTTTATTTTATTTTATTTTTTAGTTGGAGTCTCACTCTGTTGCTCAGGCTGGAATGCAGTGGCACACTCCCAGCCACCGCAGCCTCAACCTGCTGGGCTCTGGTGATCCTTCTGCCTCAGTCTTCCAAGTAGCTGGAACTATAGGTGCGCTACTACGTCCAGCTAATTTTTTGATTTATTGTAGAGATGAGGTCTCACCATGTTGCCCAGGCTGGTCTTGAACCTGTGGGCTCAGGTAATCCTCTCGCCTCCCTCCCAAAGTGCTGGGATTACAGGCTTGAGCCACTACACCCAGTCCATTTGTTTTATATACTGAAGTCCCATTTATAATTCTGTTTGGTTAAAAGTGAGTTAAAAATGAAAGCTTGGAAACCTCCGATAATAGCAAAAAGATCTATTCACAGAGTCGTGAGGTATGCTGGGTACTAGCGATACAGAGATTAATGCCAGCCTGGCCTTTGCTCTCCAAGAGTTCACAGCCACATGGAGAAAGCAGGTAAGAAGTAAGTAGGTCTCAGTGCCCTCACCTATCCAACAGGGAAAAAAGCTCCTAGCTACTTTGCAGACATGCTGTGTGGTTTAAAAGAGAGAATGTGTGAGAAAAGGCTTTTACACAATTGTTAACTGGTATGGCTACATTTCCTTTAAAGTCCTAAGATACATTTTTTTTTTTTGAGTTGTAGTCTCACTCTGTCACCCAGACTGGAGTGCAGTGGTCACTCCCGGCCACTGCAGCCTCGACCTGCTGGGCTCTGGCGATCCTTCCGCCTCAGCCTTCCCAGTAGCTGGAACTACAGGCGCGCACTACCACGCCCGGCTGGTTTTTGATTTATTGTAGAGATGAGGTCTCGCCAAGTTGCCCAGGCGGGTCTCGAACCCGCGGGCTCAGGCAATCCACTCACCTCAGCCTCCCAAAGGCGCGGCATTACAGGCTGAGCCACCGAGTCCAGCCTAAGATACATTTTTGTGGGCCAATATTAGAATGTTATCTTGAAATTCTGGCCTCAAGCGATTCTCCTATCTTGACCTCCCAAAGTGCTGGGATTACAGGCATGAGCAACCACACCTGGCCTAAGGATATTATCTCTATCAATTTCAGGTTCCAACAAGTAAATACAGTCAAAGAGAAAATATAGGACACAATAATTTCCTTCACAAGAATGATAATGCTCTCTAAAATCTTCATAAAATAGCATATCTCAAAAGATTATCTTAATAATAAAAAAGAATCTTTTTAAGGCTGAAAGAATCATTTCACATAATAGGCTATACTTTTATATTATGAATAAGCAAACTAAAAGTTAGTAAGAAAAATAGTGAAAGTTGGCTGGGCGCTGTGGCTCATGCCTGTAATCCCAGCACTTTGGGAAGCTGAGGTGAGAGGACTGCCAGAGCCCGTGGGTTTGAGACCAGCCTGGGCAACATGGTGAGACCTCGCTTCTACAATAAATAAAAAAAATGAGCCGGGCTCGGTGGCTCAGCCTGTAATCCCAGTACTTTGTGAGGCCGAGGTGAGTGGATTGCCTGAGCCCGATGGGTTTGAGACCTTCCTGGGCAGTTTGGTGAGACCTCATCTCTACAAAAATAAAAAATTAGCCGGGTGTGGTAGCGTGCACCTGTAGTTCCAGCTACTTGGAAGGCTGAGGTAGAAGAATTGCCAGACTCCAGCAGGTCGAGGCTACAGTGGCCGGGAGTGGCCACTACACTCTAGTCTGAGCGACAGAGTGAGACTCCAACTCAAAAATAAAAAAATAAAAAAATAAAAAAGTTAGCTGGACTTGGTGGCGTGTGCCTAAACTTCCAGCTACTTGGAAGGCTGAGGTGGAAGGATTGCTTGAGTCCAGCAGGTAGAGGCTGCAGTGGCTGTAGCGTGCCACCACACTCCAGCCTGGGTGACAGAGTGAGACTCCAACTCAAAAAAAAAAAAAGTGAACGTTATTATGTACATTCCTAACATCTCAAATATTAAAACTGTATAGAAGAAAAAAATTCTGCTAAAGTCATATCAATAGGTGTACCATGATAGGAAGAAAGTATGTTCTATCCAGAGTATCACAAGATACATACAGCTGATAAGGCCAGGATTTGTTGCTGAATTGTTTCTTCATCATTACTGTCAACCCATGGGGGCACAGCTGCCTCTGTGTAGTTTTAATGGGAAAGAAAAAAAGATAAAAAATAAATCACAATGGTTATACTGCAATCTATAATTTCAAAGAATGAAGAGTTTCTGCATGACCATTTAAAACAGCGATTCACCAATAAGTTCCAAATATGAACATTTACCATAATAACCAGACTTATATGTTTGTTTGTTTATTTATTTATTTATTTGGAGTCTCACTCTATCACCCAGACTGGAGTGCAGTGGCATGCTCCCGGCCACCGCAGCATCAACCTGCTGGGCTCCGGCAATCCTTCTGCCTCAGCCTTCCAAGTAGCTGGAACTACAGGCACACACTACCACGCCCAGCTAATTTTTGATTTATTGTAGAGATGAGGTCTCGCCAAGTTGCCCGGGTTGGTCTCAAACCCGCGGACTCAGGCAATCCACTCACCTCGGCCTCCCGAAATACTGGGATTACAGGTTGAGTAACCGAGCCCAGCCTATTTATTTTCAAAATATATTTTATTTTAAAGATGTGGGGTACAATTCAGGATTAGGTATATAAGTGGGCATCATACAGGTAAAGTTTGGGCTTCCCTCTGGGCCCTTCTTTGCCGGGTTTGAGATCAGGTACCCTTTGATGTTATGTCTCCCCCTTACCCTTATAAGTTTTATGCAAGTATGCATTTGGTAAAAAAAAATCTACTTGAAAGATACAGTGGAGAAATCAGACAACACCTTAACTAGGTGATCAAAATCAACATCACAATGAAGCAGAGATGAATACCCTGGGCCTCTAGACATGATGTCCTGAGGAGGATACATCTATGTAGCATTCTAGCCAAGAATGTACAATCTGAATCTAATTATGAAGAAATATCAGACAGAGTCTGAATGAATAAGAGTTTTTTTTTTTTTTTTAAAGTGTAATAGCCAGGTGCAGTGGCTCAAGCCTGTAATCCTGGCAATCTGGGAGGCCAAGGAGAGAGGACTGCCTGAGCTCAGAGGTTTGAGACCAGCCTGTGCAACTTGGTGAGACCTCATCTCTACAATAAATCAAAAAATTAGCCGGGCATGGTAGCACGCGCCTGTAGTTCCAGCTACTTGGAAGCTGAGGTGGAAGAATCACCTGAGCCCAGTTGGTCAAACGTGCCATTGCATTCCAGCCTGGGTGACAGAGTGAGACTCCAACTCCAAAAAAAAAAAAGGGTAATGGCTGGGTGTGGTGGCTCATGCCTATAATCGCTTGAGCCCAGATATTTGAAATGTGCCTGGTAGTGAGACTTTGTCTCTACGGAAAAAATAAAATAAATTAGCCAGGTGGCACTCGCCTGTAGTCCCAGCTACTTGGGAGGCTGAGGTGGAAGGATCATCTGAGATCAGGAGGTTGAGGCTGCAGTGAGAGGTGAAAAACGGGGTGGTGGTAGGGAGGAGTATTCGTCAAAAACAATGTCATAAAAGAAAAAGAAAGGTTGTTGGAATGTTCCAGATTAAAGGAGGCTAAGATGGAATGACATGACAAAGAGTGTAATATCTTCACCTCAACTGGATCCTGTACTGAGGGGGAAATAAAGAGCATTATAGGATCAAGTGACAAAATCAATAGGTGACTGGTAGATGACAATATTGCATCAATGTTAAATTTCCTAATGCCATCAGCTATGCTACGACTGTGAAAGAGAACATCCCTAATTCTTAGGAAATGCATACTGAATGAAACAGAAAAAGAAAAGCACCACTTAGACACAGAGCACAAACTGGAGAGGGCATGCAAGTGATAAAGCAAATGGAGTGAAATTTTAACAATTTAGGTACTGGTATAGGATGTTCACTGTACTATTTTTACTCTCACAACTTTTTATAAGTTGAAATTTTTTTCAAATAAGAGTGAACAAATGGGAAATGATAAGCAATAGGATGGAGTCAAATCTTCTGTGAGCCGTTAGAAGCTAAATGCTGGGAATACCAAGATGACTCACAACTAGCTCATGTCTTCTGGCACTCACAAGACAGGTGATTGGAATTCAGCATTGAAAGTGCTTTACGGAGCCGGGCTCGGTGGCTCAGCCTGTAATCCCGCGCCTTTGGGAGGCTGAGGGAGTGGATTGCCTGAGCCCGTGGGTTTGAGACCCGCCTGGGCAACTTGGCGAGACCTCATCTCTACAATAAATAAAAAACCAGCTGGGTGTGGTCACGTGCGCCTGTAGTTCCAGCTACTTGGAAGGCTGAGGCGGAAGGATCGCCGGAGCCCAGCAGGTCGAGGCTGCGGTGGCGGGGAGCGGCCACTGCACTCCAGTCTGGGTGACAGTGAGACTCCAACTCAAAAAAAAAGAAAGTGCTTTATGGGCCGGGCTCAGTGGCTCAGCCTGTAATCCCAGCACTTTGGGAGGCCGAGGCGAGTGGATTGCCTGAGCCCACTGGTTCGAGACCCACCCGGGCAACTTGGCGAGATCTCGTCTCTACAATAAATCAAAAAAATTAGCTAGGCATGGTGGCGTGTGCCTGTAGTTCCAGCTACTTCGAAGGCTGAGGCAGAAGGATTGCCTGAGCCCAGCAGGTCGAGGCTACGGTGGCCATGAACATGTCACTGCGCTCCAGCCTGGGCGACAGAGTGAGACTCTAACTCAAAAAAACCCCAAAAATGTCTGTTACTTGGCAGGCTCTCAATGACTGCCATTCCCTTCCCTTTCTCCCCTCCCCACACTGTGGATCTTCTGCTCATCTCCCTTCATGCCCGACAGACTTTTCATAGAGCTGTTCACCTATTCTCATGGTTACTATGTGACTTATCACTAGATTGAATTCTCCTCTAAGCTTAAAAGAGGAATAAACTGCTGTGGGAGCCTGTTAGTTTACTTTAGAGCAGTGATGACCAACAGAACTTTCTGCAATGATGGAAATACTCTGTATCTACACTGTCCAATACAGAAGCAATTAGCCATGTGTAGTTATCGAGCACCTGACACGTGGCTAATGCCAACTAAGGAGGGAAATTTTCTCCAGATAAACCACGTGTGTTCCCTTTCGTGCCTTTGTACATGTTCCTCTCACTGGGATATCTGATGGGCATTTGAAAACTGAAACTGTCTCCAAACTTTTGACTCCCCCACTCTCGCAGTTCCTATCTCAGAGACACCAGCTCCTACAGCAAGTCCTCAAGCCAGGATCAATTTTGCTGCTTCCAAATAACTACTAACTTGTACATTCATTTTGCTAACTTGTACAGTTCATTTGTCCAAAATAGTTGCTTCACGTTTGAATTTACCCAGGTGCAACAATGCCTGAAGGAAGCTTACCAGGGGACTAACTGTGGACAGCTCATGTCCAAATCCAAAGACATGAGGCTGGTTTTGTGTTTGGGTACCACCAAGCAGTAGAAGTAGGCATTCTGAGACCTTGTAATGGCAAACATTTGCATAGGCATTTGTCAGTAAAGAAACTTATTGAGTAAGTTCTGCAAACACCCATCACTTTTCATGATCCTCTGTCACTACAGGTGCGGTCACTTTCCTGTCAAGTGCTTCCATTTTTCCTTCAGAGGATAGCGGGAAGGGGGCCAACACTTGCTAAAATGCCTAATATGTGTGTAACATACACTGGACTGGGCAGTGGTCTAAAGTGAGAACTGAACGCCTACTCACTTTCCTCCAGAGCCAGCTCCCAGAAGGGCCGTCACTGGCTGACCTCACCCACAGTCCCAGTTGCAGAAAATGATTTATTCCCTTTCTTTAAACCCCAAAGTTTTTTTTTTTTTGAGTTGGAGTCTCACTCTGTCGCCCAGACTGGAGTGCAGTG